AATGCATCTCTCCTTGTTATATACAGGGTTAATGTTTTATTGTGCACTGTCCCTGTTCAAATAAAAGAAAATAATTATAATAAATGTTAAAATGTTAGCAAAACGTGCGTTAACTAGCTAGCTAACTAGAACTGTAACAGGCTAGCTAATGATTAATGTAAATTGATTGCACTTATATAGCACCTTTTTAGTCTTCTGACCTCTCAAAGCACTTTACAATACATGTCACATTCACCTATTAACACACATTCATAGAAACAGAATCTAATACTCATTCCATTCCATGCTTGGGAACCGGAGGGTCGCCGGTTCAAGTCCCACAGACCACAAAAATATGGAGTGTGGACTGGTAGCTGGAGAGGTGCCAGTTTCACCTCCTGTGCACTGCCGAGGTGCCCTTGAGCAAGTGCCCCTTGGACGCGGCAGCTCGGCAGCGGGCGGCCGGGCACAAACGCGGGGCACGCTGCTAAAGCACAGCAGCTTTAACACCCTCTAGCACACGTTTGCGCGCCAGGCCCAGCCTTGCGGAATTTACGCGGCCAAGCAATTAATTTCCAACCACCCAACAACACAACACACCCTCTCGCAACAACCACAAGAGTGTGCGTGGTATCCAGACGCCAAGGGATTGTTCCGTCGCGCACACTCACTCACAATCCATCGCATCAGGACAGTGATTGAGGACTTTTGCCTGTAGTGGAGCTCGTTTGTTGCCATAAGACTGTGTGTGGTGGTTCAGAGTGTGCCTCGTGCATTTCAGTGTGTGTGTGTGTGTGTGTGTGTGTGTGTGTGTGTGTGTGTGTGTATAAAAAAAGAGTGAAAAAAACAATTTCCCTCTAGCGGATCAATAAAGTTCTTCTTAAACTATTACTATGTATAATAATGTCAGTAGGCGGCCCCTGTCTGTGTCTGACTCCTGTGTTTTCCAGCCAGCAGTCATGTCCATTGAGTACACCATTGATATCCAGCTAACGGAGTTGGGATTTCCGGACATCCTGCAGCCGGACACCTCTGTCAGGGAGACACCCTGTGGCTCCACACCACCTGATGACTCATTCTCACCCAGCCACTCCTCACTCCCAACCGCACACAAGCGAAGGCTGCTGGTCCGAGGCCAGCAGTCAGCGGATGGTAAAGAAGCAGGTGCAGCAAAGCGCACCTCAGGTCCGGAACGAGCATCGTCTCTGTCAGAGACGTTGCCCCGCAAGCCCCTAAGTCCTGCAAAAGGCGTGCAGGATGAGCAGTGCGACAGAGGCACAGCGCCTCTCAGACTGCCGGAGCCCACGGTGAATGATGGTGCAGCTGGAGCAGAAACCACAGACCTGCTGCAGAGGGGACAGGAGGACAGCAGTGGGAGAGACGCAGAGGGTGGAGACGCTGCGGCAGAGGATGGAACGGCGGAGCAGCAGGGCGTGGAGGATGATTCTGATGACAGCGAGGTTTCAGGGGTGTACGAGGAAGAAGAGATTGACGAGGAAGAGGATGACGAGGAAGGACTAAATGGTACGACTCTTTGACTTAATGTCAATATGTTTTTGTTTACTTTATAAAAATAGATTATTGGAAGCCTTACCTTTTATCAAATGACAAATGATAATAGCTTATGTATTATTTATAATATTAAATCGATCTCTTTCAGTTTTTCTCCTGCCTGCTGTGCTGAGTGTACATCTTCCATCATCATCTACCTTTCATCAGTTGGCATACTTTTAATTTCCCTCTCTCTCTTCCACAGAGTCGAGTCATTCAGGCGACTACCGCTGCAGCGTCTGTGATCACCAGCTGCCCTCCAAATTCAAGCTCCAGGACCACATGAATTTGCACACTGGAGCGCGCCCGTACTGCTGTGCCGAATGCGGAAAGCGCTTCTGCCAGATTTCCAACTACCGGGTCCACCTGCGCACCCACGCCCAGACCAAAGTGGATCCCCTCTTGTGCCGTGTGTGCCTAAAGGGCTTTGCGTCACAGGACGATCTGAAAGACCACTTGTCGAAAACTCACTTTGAGAACGAGTTTTACGAGTGTGACCTGTGCAAGCGTGTGTTCACGTCCCTGAAGGAGTGTGAATATCACGTGCAGTTACACAAATGTATGCTGAACGTTGTATGTGAAGTGTGTGGCCGCAATTTCTCCTCTTCAAAATCCCTCGCACGCCACCGGAAGAAGACGTGCCATCGCAGCTTTAAATGCACAGACTGCACAAAGACGTTTACCAAAAAGAATGCCCTCCTGAAACACAGCTTCTCCCACCTCGGCCTGTTGCCTTACACCTGTGTACGATGCCGCCGGCACTTCCGCCTGGCAAAGCTGTACCGCCAACACAAGTGCGAACCCTTGCGCATTCACTGCGTGGCGTGCCTGCGAGAGTTTCTCAGTGAGGCGGACTTCCAGCAGCACAAAAAGGACACGGGCTGCTGGGGCAATCAGGAGCCTAAAGGGGATGAGATCAGGTGTTTGGAGTGTGGAGAGAAGTTTGACACTTCGGAGGAGCTGAAGAAACATGCCGGGGCTCACCAAAGGGTGCTGAAGTGTGCAGAATGTGGAAAGGGCTTCCGGTCGGCCCTGCTGCTGATGTCCCACATGGGGGGTCATGCCGGCAAGTCGCCCTGCTTTTGTCAGAGCTGTGGACTGGGCTTTCCACACCAGCAGAACTATGACAGCCACCTTAAGACCTGTGGACAAACACCCCAGCCTGCGGTGAGTGTGGAGCATTATGGTGACGTACAGTATCAGTTTAAAAGGAAGAATATTTTTGTTTGTCCATTAAATTATACTCAAGACTACTGGCAGCCATTTTGTTAAAGATGAACTAAATACCAGGCTGAAAACCAGTATTTCACTTCCCTTTCTGGGTGCCCAGCATGAAGGGGGGAGGTGGAGTGTGGTCAGAAGCCTGCTTTACATCTGTAACCACAGCCTGATGTCACTGTGTCCTAGAGTCCACCTGTACATCACTGAAGCAAGGTGACAAGTTAAACTACTGGAGATCAGCCAAAACAAGACTTTCTAGGGGTGTTAATTTAATCTGTTAAGTATCCATTGGTTTTAATTGAGCTCCCAGCTTCCTGGCAGCATGATACACATCAAATATGAATGATTCAACTATGTAAATTGGGTCAGTTAGGTAATCATTAACTGCGCATGTCACCAGCTTCAGTACTGAAGGTGAGAGCACAAATAGCAACATCCTGGCTCCTCGACAGCACTGTGTCATTGCACACAGTTCTAGCCCCCCGAGACACGTTCAAGACTTACAAAAATGCTCTGCTTGGAATAAACCAGCAGTAACAGAGGGATTATAAAACAATTCCTGTTGCACTGTATTGTGATGTTAGAAGTTCACCAGTTATTGAAACCTACCGCAAGCTTAAGTTACAGGTCTCTCTATCTTGATTCTACTGACACGTCACACCTGTATTTTGTATAATTCACTGAGTGACGGGGGTTATTTTTGTGGTCTTTCTCATTTCAGAGCGCTCCCAAAAAACGCCAGGCCTCGAAGAGCTCTTCACCTGAGACAAAAAAGCTCAAAGCAAAACCAGACTCATCGAATCCACCAAACACAGTCACTCAGCCTGCTGCACCAGAGAAGGATTCTCCTAGTCCAGGACTTGTGACAGAGGGTGCTGGCTCTGGTCCACCCGATGGATTGTGGAAGCTAACCCTCGACAAACAGCCACCTCCAGGTGTTAAACTTGTCTTGTTTCTTCCTGTCTGTCCGACTCAAACCACGGGCCTGACGCTCCCATCGGCAGTCTCTCCGACACTCCCGGGTCCAGCTGTGCAGGTCTACCCTCAACACCTTGGAGTACCGCTAAATGAACCCCTGGATTTGGTAACCGGGATCAAACGGGATCCAGAATGTGAAGCACCTCTGGATTTGTCTAATAAGTGTAACTCATCTAAATCTCCCCTGAGCAACATTCCTCTTCTTCCCGTTAAAAGTGAGCCAGAAGAATTTGAAATCTCAGGAGAGGCTGGTAGCACCACAAGACAAAGCAAAGCAACTGTTAAACCAAATCCAGGAGAGACGCATATATGTACTGAAGTGAAGAAGTTAAAAGTGGATCGCTCGCCTCCTAATGTTAGTACAGCGTCCTCCGGACTAATAATAGACATCAAGAGCGAGCCTCAGCCTCAGGGTCTTGATATTGATGTGTGTCAGCTGACAGAGAGAAATTAAGATGGAGGTCGATGTTTCAAGCGCTACTAATGCTGATGTAGACAAACCAAACATTTTATTTGAGGGCAAAATAAAAATAGATTAATACTCCATCTGTGGTCACATTCCCCTACTGGAGGACACAGCCACTGTTCTGCTGTACCTGTAGCCACATAAACCAAATATGGAGGTGTTATTCTACAGCCAGAACTATATACTGTTGAGTATTGTATATATTTCTGTCTAATCAGTATATGTACCATCATACCCTTATATGGCAAAGCAGTTTTTCTACTTTTTCTAAACTCGGTGTCTTTCAAGCAGTCGACTGTGTGACTTTTGTTTTAGAGTCGGGAGGATTTTTGTTTTGTTTCTTCTGTAATTTAAACAACATTCCAAGCTCTTGCGTATTATGGCATTTGTCCTATTTGCATTTTGGGTAAAGCTTTTGGCTGGGGCACCAGAGCAGAGTGGTACTGTAATAGTCATGAAGCCTATGCAATATTATTATTAAAAATATTCAGATTTCTATCTTTTTTATGCACTAGTTTTTGTGTTGAGAAATTGAATCCTTAGTTTTATTAATGTGTATTTGGAATGAAAACACTGGATTTCTTAGTGTTCAGCTGAAAACTTGAAATAATAATGTGCATTTTGTAAACAGGCATCTGACCTTTTTACTACTAAGTTGAATATTTAATGCAAATAATGGTACTGATCAGTAAGGACATTGTGTCACCTTGTTCTCTACATTGCTGAATCTTTATAGCCTGCAGGTATCTTTTGATGTTTTTTTCTAAAGGCAAATAAACATTAGTCCTTGATACAAGAACTGTTCATATCTCGCCTCGTGTGTTTGTGTGTGTGCATGAGAGAGACAGTGTAGAAATACTGTATTTAAAAAGTATGACACTGCACCACGTATGCGTAGAGACCTTCTTTAACAGGAGAACTTAGAAACAGACACATCCACAGATCCAGTATCCACATATTGAACAGGAAGGTTCACTCTTCACTTTGATCCTTTTTGGTCAAACTAGAGAGAGATAGTTGGACCCTCACGGGGGGTTGCAAGGCCTTCTTGATTTAAGTTTACTTAATGATAAAGAAAATTCCCTTAAGGAAAAAGGTTGGGAACCACTGGACTAGACGATAAAATAAAACTTTTGTAGTAAAATGTCCTGCTTTCACTGGGATATCCCATCATATTTAGCAGATTATCATTACACAAGAGTTTACACATCAGGAAGCCCAGAGCAGACTGTTCCCATGGGGATTTACTGTAGGCTATAGTGCTTTTAAGGGCATTTAATTAGGGAGTGTAGTTATAGTGCTAATGAAACAAATAAGATTACATTTAGGAAATTGGTTGCTCTTAATTGGAAAAAAACAAAACGTTAGCAAGGAATAAAATACTCTGAAACTGTTACACTTTTAGGTTTGTTCTCACACAACAAATTTTACAGTAAAAGTCTGCTGATTTATTAGATAATAAAGTAATTGCAGCCATTACCACAATGTGATATTGGGATTCTATAACTTTCACAAATCTAATAACGAACATCCTTGCAGCCTAAATGTCAGTATTTCCCAATTACCATATTCATAAATGCAGCTCTTCTGTTTTCTTAAAATAATATTTTATTTAGATTTAGAACTGCTATTAACAACAGGGCTTTATCTGCTTATGTGCCTGCAATACTTAATGTTATTTTTAAAAATATTTTATACTTCTTTTTACGTTTCGCTGACACGTTTTGATATTTTTTAAGTGAATATATGTTTTTAAGTGAAAAGAAGGGCTAAAAAAAAAAAAGGAAGACTAGTCACATGATCGGAGATCCCGGAAATAGAATGTGTGCTAGGTTATGATCTGGCTGAACGGGACACAGTGGAGCTGTTATCAGCTCAGAAACAACATGTGCAGTATTACTCATTGTTTTGAAGCGCAGTGTCTGCCATATTGAAACCGCTCGTATAAAGCTAACCCGTCGATCCGGCGACAGCAGCGGTTTGTTTCCACCCATGGACAAAGACAAGAGTAGCGACATTGTAAGTAGACGACATTTAAATGAGTGGACTTGAAGAGAAACCAGTGTGTGTTTAAGCCTTTTCACCTTTGCTTATTCTTAACACCAAAAACAAACAAACACAAACCGCACTCAGACTGTGCCAACTCTGCCTTGTTCTTCCCGCAGCATGCTCAGTGTTCCTGGATGGAGATGCATCAGTTCATTGACCTCATCACATCTGGAAACGCCTCCAAGGATCAGCCAGATGTGTTAAACGCGGCGTGGGGCGTGGCTGCTGCCGGTGGCGGGAGTGAGGCTCTGGGGTTCAAAGGTGCTTCACTGGAACCTCTACAGCAACCAAGACCTGCCCGGGATAAGTCAGAGACGGAGCCGGGCCGACAGATCCAGCCCGGGGCGCCACAGAGGAAGCGAGAGACCAGAGACAGCAGAGAAGGTTAGAGCTCAGAAATAAACATTGTTATTTATTTATCTGTGCAGAAGTTCATAGTGTGTGTGTGATTCTAATTCATGTTTCTTGTGTGCTTAGATCTGCATTATGCCTGCACCTGCCCCGGCTGCCCTTACTCCACTTCCCCGTCTTCCTTTGACATTTTAAAACCCAGACAGTCTTTGTCCTCGCCGCCACGCCCGGACGCGGTATGCCACCACTTACCGGACACCGAACCGAGCAGCAGCACCGCCAGATCCGAGCCAGAGAGCACGACGACCAGCCGACCGCAGAGGGACGAGGCAGACAGAGGGACTCGGAGCCCAGACCACAACTCCGACTCTCCACCCTCCAGAGCGTCCTCGGGCTCCTTGTCCCACCTCTCTATGTTTCCCTGCTTGTGCTGCCATCGCAGCCTCCAGGCCTGCAGCCAGATCCTGAGCCAACAGGAAGGTGCAGACTCCCCGTTTTCTCACACCCACGCCCATCATCATTTTCATCACCACCACTGCCCCGTCACCTCTTGTTTACCCTGCCCTCAGCTTTCCCACTCCCATCCTCCACAGATCTCTGCCCCCTTTCCCTGCTTGCCTTGCCAGCGCTCCTTTCCCACCTGCACCCAGGTGTGCCCCCACCAGCAAAGACAAACGCACGCTCAGCAGCAAGAGGAAAGAGGCAGGGCGGCTACGGGCATGTTGTCGCTACACCTCTGTATGCACTGCTCCGCTTCTTTTTCCAGACCGTCTCAGTTGCTGCAGCACCAGCGCTCCGAGCACGCCCACAAACCGGCCGGCTTTCTGTGCACGGAGTGCGGCAGGACCTTCAACTCACACAGCAACCTCCGCATACACCTCAACGTGCACACCGGCGCCCGGCCCTACTCCTGCTCCGATTGCGGGAAGAGTTTTAGCCAGTCGGGGGCTCTGAAGATCCACAGGCGCATACACACCGGGGAAAGGCCGTACTCCTGTGGATTCTGTGGCAGGGGGTTTCCACATCTGGCAGGAGTCCGCGCCCATCAGAGGACCCACACGGGAGAGAAACCCTACCGTTGCAGCCAGTGTGGGAAATGTTTCACCCAGTCCGGAGCTCTTAAGATTCACACCCGCATCCACACAGGAGAGAGGCCCTTCATCTGCAGCCTCTGTGGGAAAGGCTTTTCCAACCGCTCTGGGATCCGCTTTCACTACCGCACAGTGCACGGTCTGGCCCCCGAGCAGGCTGGAGAAGCTGGAGCTGGGGGTGCAACTCGGGGACCAGCAGGCCGTGGTTATCCGCCCGGGCGTCCCAGGACTTTTCCTCCGCCCGGCGTTGGGGTGAACACACCCAACAGCCCGGATAGCAACTCGCATACCGCTCCAAATTCCAGAGATTCCCCTGTGTCAACTGCTGCTCATCCCGGCTCGGCTCTGCTCGGCAGCAACGAGGGCAAATCTCAGCCAGAGGGAGCCAATCCAGGCAGTAACAGAGAGGGGCTTCTGTACGCATGTGAGGACTGTGGCCTGTGTTTTAAGGATGCCCCGTCCAGGAACAGACACCAGACTCTGATGCACTACTCCTCTGAGGGGAGAGAGGAGGAGGAGGAGGAGGAGGAGGAGGAGGGGAAGAGGCAGAGGAAAGAGTTGAGCATAAACGAGAGGGTCCATGATAACAGTGGAGAGTGAATGAATGTTGGTACATGATTTAAAAACAGGCTGAACATAAACAAATGCGGAAACCACAGAGTAAAAAAGTTTAAAAATGTTTTAAGTGTTGAAATCGTTTGTGTGAAATATTAATAATGTAAATGTAAAATAATACTACTCTGTAGTTAAGTGTTAGTACTCTTTTATTACATTTCATTATAAGTCTTTGATATAGCTTCACTTCAAGCTCTTGTATAGATTTTCATGTAGTTTTTCATTTACAAATTTGTAACACCTTGAAGGGTTTTCAAGCAGAGATTTCTGATTTGATAGAAGTTCAGATTGGTGGACTTTTTTCTATAGCGAGGTGTCCACTTTCCTGTTTGTGCAGATTCATCACTGCTACAGGGTATAAGTCGATCCTAAAAATAACCTTAAAAACCAGCTCCTACAGTATATTTGTTAATACAGTTGTTTTATTGTGCCTTACTCAGCAGTGGAAGAGGTTCACAAACTGATGGCTAAATGTGACATCACAAATTCATCACAAAATTTTTTAGGGTCTTTAAGGAACATTTTCAGATGTATTGGAGAACTACCACTGCCACCTGAATATTATTATACCTTTTAATAGGAAAAAGTACAGTTTTCTATGTTATTTTGTATTTTTCCTCTAAAGGTGATCAGTGTGAACAACAACAGTCATATAAGTTTATTTAAATTACGTTCTTTAATCTTTTTAATACCTTTATTTCCCATACAAAATATAAGACAATCCAGTGGACTTTGCACGGCATAGAAAATGAAGTAAGTATGAAATAAGGAGTTAATTTTACTGCGTGTTTGTCACTTGTGGTAAAGTTTCTGCACAGCGGCAAAAGCCCACCAAATAACAAGAAGGATGCTGGGATTGTTTTTAATGTTATGTTTTTGTGATACCCAGCAGAGGAAACAAAAATCTTTTTAATACTGGTGGGCAACAACATGACAACAGCTCTGGAGTTCGGTTGAGGTATGTGTGCCTTGCTCAAGGACACTGCAGTAGGTTGAACCATGGGGGCTCTTGTCCATGTGAACAGTCCTCCATCCTAATCACAACACCCCCTCGCCTGTCGTGCCTTTGTGTATTACACTATAATCCCAGCGTTTATTTTAAACCAGTGTTTGTTACTTTACTGTGCGTGTTAGAAATGGACAACGTAACAATTATCTGAGGAAAGAGAACCAGCACACAAATAATTACATTATTGTTAGATGTTTAAAGCTCAAGAGAGCCACCTAGTGGTTATACATAATCATAGCAACAATCTTAACCACTTAGTTACAGTGTACCATTTAGTGCTTCTTAAATGTTTTCTGTTTACAAAACATATTGAAATTACACATTGTGAATACAATGTTTTGTCAGGACAAGTAACATATTTAATACACTTTTTTTTCATTAACCTGTTAAATAGACACACATCGCTGTATGTGTTTTCTGAAAGTGCAGCTTGTGATTAAACATTTCATCAATAAACAGTATCTCTGAGACACGACGACTGAACCTGCCTTTTCTTTGTGCTTCACAGGATGTTTTCATACTTCCTGGAAGGAAACGTCTGCATCCATATGGCTTTCAAACCATTGTGTACTGAATGGTGTACCCTCATATATGCATAGTGGTCCAAAGTGACTTTTCAACACTGGGTACGTCACTCACTGGACGTCGAGCTGTCAGAATTAGTACACTCTGGACAACACTGTCCAGCTTAGTGTCCACCTGAGATCATCACCAAGTGGTCCTCTAGTATCAACACACATTTTAGCCCCGGAGAGTCTTTTTATTCTTCTTGTCTGAGCTCGCTGTGTTCACATGGGCTCCTCGTATGCGTGCTTGCGTAATAAAGAGTCACATGGCTTGGGCTCAGCGTAGACCACACTGACTGGCCGTGGGCCACTGGCATGTAGAGCGGGAGTGCAGTAGCCATTGGACAGCATCCTATGTGAGGGGCAGTCATACTGAGCGTGGCTGGATGTTGTCCTGGTACCAGCAGTAGGTGCGAGTATAGGAGGTCCGTGTGACTCAGAAAGCTGCTCACTGAAGGGGGTGGCATACTCAGGCTCCGGGGGAAGAGGCTCTGCGTATTCTGGCAGGTTACCAGGAGTGTCATAATGGTTGAAAGTGAAGGGGGTGGTGTAGCCCTCATCTGAGGAGGGTCTAAATGTTGACCCAACTTTCTGTCCAATAGCTGCAACAGCAGGCTCAGCATAGTCTGGAAAAAATAAAGAAATGAGTCAAAGCCAGTATGAGACAGTAATTCTATTCATTTGAGATGGAACAAACATTGGCATGAGTATCCGCTTATATCACCACCAAAAACCAGTCCAGTATTAATATTACATATATTTTTTCAATTTGTGGTACTATCATTTACGTGGGTACTGTCAGCTCTGTACAGTTGCCTGGCAACCAGCGGAGACTCCAGGAAGTAACAGAAAAAGTGCAGCAAGTGACCCCTTGTAAAGTGACAAATTTGATTTTACACTTCGGTTTTTGTACGGATTAAACAAATGAGAAATAATGTGTTAACTGGAGAACTCTGGAGGGGTGGGAGGTGGATTTGGTTGCTGTTGGCCAGAGCCCAGCTAGCAGTTTCCCTGCTGCACGCTTTTATATAACAGCCAGATATGAGAGTGGTATCAATCTTCTCATTTAACGTTAACTCTCTAAGTGAATAGGTGTATTTCCCAAAATGTCGAACCCTCTTATTGCAAGTTTCTCACAGTTTGCCTCAGTTACTAAGATATTACCAGCTGAATGTGACTGTTGTTACCATTGATTTGTTACCTTGTAGCGATGACTTTTGGTTGCGAGTGCTTTATGATGCAACTCCAACTTGTTGCACTTATTTTGCATATCCCTGTAAACAAGACATTCCTGCGAAAGAAACCTTTTTTGCAAGATTCCCCTGTAAATAAGTTTAATTGAATCCATCAACGCCACCTAATATAGCTAGCTATCAAATTAAGGAGGCATAAAGTATAATCTTATTAACAATTGAAAGTAACGTAGCTCACCACCTATGAGCTGATAGCGTCGGGATGGCTACACTACACAAGTAAGCATCCTTTGAGTTTGGACTTATTTCACAGCATGGGCTTTTCTAGGGTCAAGAATAAATCTCTACACACATTTAGAAACAGGCACGACAGAAAAGCTTTATCCATTTTAGTTGTACATCTTCTAGACTCTTACAAAATGCATATTAGCATCAGTATCGGACAGTATGGCAAGAAAATATCAGCCAATTTATGAGCTTTAAAATATACTGCTGAATCTCCAGTAATACTCCATTACTGTGATAAAAAATGGGGAAAATGACAAAACTGCTGTACCACATAGCAGCATCCTTTCACTAAGAGGAAAGAAAGGATCATTTGCATCTTACACAGCAATTTCTGGGAAATGCTTCTTTTCTCCTCATAGCAGGCCAATGATGAGTCCCTGCATGAGCTGCTTGGCCACCAACAATGTGACAGTGTAGCACTCAGACGCGACCAGAAACTGCACCTCGCCCCCGCAGAAGAGGCAGTGGTGTGAGAGGCCTAGACCTTACTCAAGAGCCCATAGGGAGCCTCAGAGCCAGAGCTATTTTAATTAGACAGGCTTTAGTGAGGGCTTTGAT